CACTAAAGAGAAAATATAAAATCATATATTTAAGTAAGACGGTACAATACGCATTTTTTCTATTTTAAATTCAAATTTCCCGCGCAGCGTTTTTTTTTTTCCTTAAATTAACCGTTTCTTAAACTATTAGAGAGTGAACCAAAGGAGCTGATTTAATTGGTAGGCGATTGGTGACACTCGAAGGGCTCTTACGTGATCCGTTAAATTGGCGTTTAACGAGCGTCCCACCGTTGGCCGTGAAAAACGTGCAGCGGTGGGGGAAAGGCCTTGGGAACGCTGCGAGCGCAAGTGCATCGGTACGCGCAATAATTACCGTTGCGATTATCCAGAATGAAAATCGCTGTTGCATCGAACGACACGAATGCCCACGGTGCGGTCGGTGACGCAATGACGCGGACCGGTTCCTCCGTGAGACCGATCTGTTATTTTTCATTAACACCGCCACAATCGGCCGGCGCAGGGACGAGACGGAATGTTCGAACCGGATTTTTAAATTGCACTCTCGATGCATGCCGTACCCAGAAGACTTTGAGGCTGGAGGTTGCAATGTGTATAGCTTGTAATTAAAAATATCACTGTTCAAGATCGTTTTAATTGCACACACCGTGATTGTAAATTTTATTGTTCTACAACTGAGAAGAATTACAAAAAAGGAAACTTTTGTTTTTGTAAAGTTATGTAAGTTTATTTTATTGCTGTTTTTGAAATAAAGAGTACTATTTAAACATTGAATTTAAACATTTTCATTTTTTTTTAAAATTCTTTAAATGTATTAATGGAATTTCATTTTTGCGGACGTGGAAGTAGATTTTTTTTATCTTCGTTAAACAGCTAAATTTTAATTTGATATAAATATTAAAATGTCCCCGATATTGGTATAAATTCATGTTTTAAAATTGAACTGACATCGTTAAAAAGCGGTTCAAACGATATTTAAGTATGGGCGAAGGGAACTTAAGATTCCACGCCATCTTGGTTAAGCCTATTGCCGTTAGCATTAGTTTCCTTCCTCGGGTTTCATTCCTCCTCAAAGTTCCCGTTTCTGGGGATTAACAGTTCCATTAATTCTTAAGCCCCTTTGACACACTGACACGGCACCGCGTTAACGAGGGTGTTTCGCGTGCAGAAAAAATATTTCATAAAGGCGGACCAATTTCTTGGCGGCTGTTCGCCATATCCGTTGGCTGCGCGCGCGCGCGCCTATAATTAAAACTCGGCTCGGTAAACAGGTCGCGCGGCATCGTTCGCGTTTTTCGAAAGTTTGTATCGTAGAATTTTCGTTACACAACACTCTGT